CATTTTATAAGTTTCTCCAATAGTTAACGAAATATTAAAGGCAGCCGAACTGCGAAGTGTATATGTCTACCGATCGCTTGGTGCGCAGGGGAACGCCGGAATAGCCTGGCAAGCGCGCCCACCGAGCTATGTTGGTTTGCGGTGGTGTGCACGGCGCGGGGCGCTTGTCAGCCAATCCCCAACTCTACAACTAGTAGGCTGGTCGAGCGCACGTATTCGGCTATCTTTAAGGATTAATATCTCATTAACTATTGGGGAAATTCACAAAATGGAGGATTTTTCGACTCAGTTTAGTCCGCTCTAACTACCTATGAAAGATTTGGCGATTATTGCCAGACACCCTATATATATATATGTGTGTGTACCACATAATTAATAAACAATAGCCAAACAAATCGGATATTATGTTACAATTAAATAAATAATAAAATATTTTAATTATACATCCGTAGAATGTATGAAAATTGATTAAAAGTACATATTCGGATGAAAAGGTTAAGCAAGAGAATCGAGTTTCTCCATTTCTCGGCGTCAGAAATTTTGTATAAATTACCAGAATTATTAGGAGCGCAGGAAGTTATCAGAGGTATTCTGAACGACAGCGTATCCCCACTTTGCCGCCGCGTAGCATAGCAGTCATTGGTCAATGGGCGGGAGCGTCTTGCCGCGCAAGGGGAATCTGCTAGCGCTCTTATTGGTTTACGCGGAAGGTATCCTTGTACGTGAGGTGGGGCCATAATAAGTGGGGTTCCGCTGCTACGGCAACTTGACGACCTCCTTGCTCTACATGGTGTCCTAGTATCGATGCGATTTTCGAACTTCTAACGAGATGTGGCTCGTCAGTTCACGTTGCCATCTATTTCCTTTTCGTCACAATTAACTGTAGCTTTTTAATAAATTTTTGGGATATCTTAAATGACCCATATTTTAATCGTTGCCTTATATCTATTGTCTAATATTATACTTATATTTCAATATTGTAATTAGATTTTAATTATATTTTTTAATAACTGTTGTGCACATTAGAACAACAACGAGATAATCATTTTATTTTCTGTAATGCATTTGTCTCTGTCAAAAATGATTACTCCTCGGAAAAAACTAATGTATCAAATAAAAAATTAAAACCCAGATGCTGCATTCTTAACTCACTCTAATCAAGATAATTCTATTAAAAGGTAAAACAACACAAAAAACAAGTGATACTATATATATGTTGTTATTTATTCTTTAATAGTATATATTCATATAAAAGATTTGATATCAATAATTGTTAAATCCGGAGTAACTATCCCATGTAATAGGGATACCAAATTAAATAAATAATATCAACTTTTATGATATCATTTGTATAAAATATTTGATATTAACAACATGATATTAACAATATTAATTGGCGATATTAACAACTTAAATCTCATGAACTAAATTAAGTAAAGAATACAATCCATAAATAGTTCTTTAACTTTTGGTGATAACACTTAAATGGACAATGTAACGCAATTATTCTTTAAAAGTTTATTTGAAATGTTTGTTGAAAAAAACAATGTTTATTTGAACTACCAGACATGATTACATTCATATGGTTTAATTTACGCCGAAATTATAACATCCGACATTATGACTACTAACTAAACTATATTAGATATTATGCATATTTTGAAATACAAATTAAAACAAAATTAAGATTTAAGAAAATGTTTCCTTTTGAATTCAGGAATTAATTTGGTGGTGTATCTACAAATGATCATCCATTCTCTATCCCATTATTTGACCTCTGCAATCGTACGGAAACTGTTACTTAAATGCTCCACGAACCGTGAATTTTAATGGATGTAACACATCTAGTCAACAGTTGTCATTCCTGTAGTATTAAAACAATATTACAACGTTCAAATATAGTATTGTACAACAATACTATTTATATTGTACAAATAGTCAAAATAATCTTATTTTTTATGTATACAATTGTACATATATGTAATTAATTAATGCAACATTTGATTTGCGTTTTGGATTATCCGACTTCTCACGATCGTTTATTAATTATTTGAACAAATCTAATTAAAGACTGTGTTAATTATTAAATAATTGAATATCTTTTGCTTACAAATTAATAATTAAACAAAAGCAGGAATTTAACTCATCAGTAAAGTTTAAAAAATGATAGAAGTACTGTAAGTTGATAAAATTGGTAAATTTGAATGGTAAGATAAACAAGGATTACGCTTCTCAGCATCGAAAATCAGAAAAATTGCCTAAAGTATTAGCAAAGCAGGATAAGTGAGGAAGTTGTTGGAAGTTGCTTTACCTCTTTGCTAACATGCGCTCCTGTTAGTCCGAATTTATTTTCTGGGATTTCTGACGCCGAGAAATCCGATTCTTCGTCTCAACTCCTCGCTGTCTTGTGCGCCTGTTACTCTGGATTTATTTTCCGAAACTTTCATTCAATCTCGAGAAACGCGACTCTTGTCTCGTCCGAATTTGCTATTTTATTTAATTTTGCTATTTTATTAAAAATTTTTCAATTATTCGTACAGATATCACGTTTTCACTTTTAATTATTATTTAAAAAAAAGTATTCAATATATTTAATTATTATAATAATTATTGATTATAGCTGTGTTCAAATAATTCATACGATAACTTCTTATACTCTTAATAATTTTTTCAATTTATACGTTAATTTTCTAACGCCAAAAAACCGAACTTTCTCTCCATCCGAATATGTACTTTTATTATCTTTTGTGCACAAATATGTATAATCAGATTTTTTATTATTTAATTATAATTTAATTCGAAATATCTAATTTATTTAGTAATTGTTTTTTAATTACAATATATACATTATTTTAATTATATATAATAATTATATTTAATATATGTATCTAAATTACGAGTAATAAAATTCGAAAAGTATACACGTACGTTATACGTGTAAATAAAAGATACTAATTTCCACATTAAAACGCGTAATATCGTAACAAATTAAAAAAACTCGTAATGTGTATAATTTCCTAAAATTAATTAATAGACATTTACTAATATCTATGCGAATATCGCTTAAAATTTTCTTCTTTGCGGAATTTAACTTCGCATCAATTGTTGATATCAAATCTTTTTTACGAATTATACTCATCATTACAATTAAGTAAATAACAAAAGATAGTACCACTTGCGTTTTATCTTTTAATTTAATAGAATTTATCTTGATTAAACTGTGTCATCTGAGTTTTAATTTTTCATTTGATACATTGATTTTTTTCGAGGAGTAATAATTTTTGACAAAGAATTAAAGTTGCTATTACTTGGGTTGGAACAAAAAGATTTTATTCTTCAATAAGAATATCCTTGAAAAAAAATTAACTATTATTAATTGGTTTGGATACTTAGGTTTTATTTGAAAAGCACGTTTTCTTAGCGCCTTCTTTACCTTTTTTAAATAAGTAATTTTGTAGTAAGTTTATAGTGCATTTTATAGTGACGAACGACGACTTTCTTTATAAAAATTTACCTTATAATCTCAAAAAATAGATTTTCATGTGTTTCCATGAAATTTGGAGGAGACCATTGATCCTGTTTCTTTGTGAAATAATTTTTATGTAATGTTTTAAAGAAGAATTAAAGATATAATTACTTGAGTCGGTAAAAACATCAAGATGACGGTCATTTGTATTTTCCGATAAATAATAATTAACAAATACTAGTGTAATTTGTATTCTATATATGTATATTATACATTTTGTGTATATTATAAATTTTATATCTTTGTTTTCATTTCTGGATTTTAAATATTATTTGTTGTATTCGTTATTTTATATAAAACAAGATTGAATTATAAGCATATGGAGATCAAGAACGAATAAAGTATTTTTATTATTATTTTTTGACTTAGTTAACGAATACAGTGTATTCGTTGGAGAAATAAATATATCTTTTAGTTGCAACATAGACTGATAAAAAAAATTCTTATAAGTGATAGAATATACATCATGGTACAAAACTACTATGCTGAATACAATATAATAACGCGCGCGCGCGCATATATGCGCGTTATTATATTGTATTCAGCATAGTAGATACGTAATAAGTTTGTAACAACTCATTTATATATATAGCAATTCATTTGCAAGTATTATAACAACGCCATAAAAGACATTTAATAAAGTTACACAATTATGATTACAGGTTTCATAATAAAGTACTGAAAGCATTTTCATGAAGAAAAATAAAGAGCAATCGTCTTCTAGATGCACAGCAAAAATCATCAAAGTAAATAATTTAGACAATAGTAAATAATAGTAGACAATAGTAAATAATGAAGAAAAGAAAAAATATCTCTTGATAGATAGCGAAACAGGCAATAGAGATATTTTATTTAAAAGCATTCTCTACATGTCAAAATATAAGAATTTTTATGAAGTTTTAAAATTAATTTAATGAAAAAGTATCTAAAAGAGAGAAAATATTTAAATTAACAACGAAGATTTTAAGTATTTGACTTTGAAATATACATATTGTTCTTAAAAAAAATCATCGAAATAACAGATTTCGTAAATGCTTGTATCTCTCTAATGAAATATTTTGTTTAATATTGATCATTTCCAATCAAAGTTATTGAACGATATGGTACTGATAACACTTGCAACATTAATGTCGATTGGTTTTAACCTTTTGATGGTCTTCAATAAAATAAATGTACATACATAAGAATGTACGGTTTATCATATAACATTTGATCTATAATATAATCTTTTATTATATCAAATTTTTACTATATAGCATGTATGATAAGATGAAACATAATTCACTGTACTTAATAGTATTCTAAAATTATTTAAAAGTTATTCATAGTACGAAAAATATTTTAAATAAAAGTTGCATAGCATGAATAGGAGAATGTACACTTAAAGTGAATATAAATGATAAAAAATATGAAGATTTATATATCAAATTGAGGCAGTATGGAAAAATCTTCTTCTATTTCTAAACAACAACAGACAGAAGATGCAACTTCAAAGTATGACATACCTCTCTACTAACTACCTCTCTTGTCTCACTTTATATACTTAAAAAAATAGTTAATACATTGTTCGTTCCTGGTGGCCTCACTGGTAAGATAATGCACAATGTTATTATTACATGTCGTTATGCAAGTTTAAAAAATATTGCTATACTATTGTTAGTTACTACAGACATAACGCTATTATAATAAGACCTTTATTGAGGTTAATTATTATTATCGATAGAATAATGAGATGTTTTAAAAACATTTTTATGTGCATTACGTTTAAAAAACGGTATAAATACCCAGCTATCATTTGTGACATAAATGTTCACCATTGTAGTTATATTTATTGTTGCAATCCAAAAAGTTATACCTAATTTTAAAAAGACATACGTTTCCAAAAATTTATTCATTATTGGAACTTGTTGTATTCAACAATTAGATATAAAAACTTTCACTTTCATTTATATATACACTGTATGTGTTCTAAACGAAAAATTGCTGTTCAAAGCAACTTATTGTTATTATCTCATAATCGTAAAATGAAATTTATTACAAAATCAGAGAGGAACATTGAGCTGCAGCAAAATCTATTTTATTAACAATAAAAACAAAGAAACTGAACGCACCAAAGTTTATTTTTTGTATAATATTATATAATTATATTAATTAATATTATATAATATTATATATTATATAATTTGTATCATTAATAGTGCGTCGCAAACTTATGAAATTCTTGGCAGCATCTTACTTGAAATTTTTTTGCTGCAACTACATCATAAAATGATATAATCTCAACGAACACAAAATAACAACTCTGTAAAGAATAGGTGATTTTTTTTTCAATAAACATTTAATAAAAAGAACATTTGTGCAATACTTTTCTAGGGATAATTGTAACTTTCAAGACGAACTCGTATCTTGATAAAATGAAATATTTTTTGTGTACTTTGCTAATTCTGTGGATGGCAACTGTGATTTTTGGATTTAAAGTGAATTATATATATAAATGGAAATATGTCGATTTTATATGGGAAAGTGACGAGCAGAAGGAAGACGCGATAAATTCTGGCACTTATAATCGTTCTGGGTGTATATTATTTGATGTAGACAAAGCTAAAGGTAAATGAATGATAATTGTAAAAGTTTACAATAGTTTTCTACAGTAATATTCTTCTAAGTAAAAGCTTATCTTATAGTCTTTAACCACTAATCACATTATATGAATCTATGCGTTTTAATAAATGCACTTTGATAGTTAATGCAAGATATACCACTACCATGAATTGATGATTAAACATAACTTTTAATGGCACATAAGTTCCGTTCACAAACAAGATTCTTATAGATGGTAGAATATTTGTTACTGCTACGAGAGAACTAGGTCCTAGTGTACCTGCTACTTTGGCGATAGTAACTAATGAAACAGGACCAGGAGGATCACTTTTGCGACCATATCCAAATTGGAATTGGCATAATAATAATTGTACGAAGAGCATTGTAAGTGTGGTATGAGTACACGTAAGTATTTATTTTTTGCGCTTTCAATGGTTTTTATCTCATATTTGTTTATAATGATATTTAAATGATCAATAATTTATTCTATGTGTATAATGCATATTTACATGTGCACATTGTAGCAGTATAGTTGCAGTTGGATAATATAAAAATTAGAATTATTACTTTCATTCTAGATTCGATGCAATCACATCTTCGCTCTGGATAGTGGTAAAATTGGGCCTGATCACATTTGTAATCCAAAGCTATTAATCTTTAATTTGAAAGATGATACGCTAGTAAAAACTATTTATATTCCATTTGATATTGCTAGTAATGCAACGAGTTTTGGATCATTAATACCACCTTTCGTTTATGTTCCCAAAAAATGCTCGCAGTTTCTGCATAAAATGATTGTTAGTGCGTCTTCTCTTGTATAAATCGTAATAATAGATACATGTTCGTCCAGACAAATATTATTTAACTTACACGTTTAACTATACATCTCGTATATTTTTATTTTAAATAATTTAATAATAATAAATTTATAATAATTTAATAATAATAAATTTAATATAAATACGTATAAATATTTATGAATATTTGCAGATATTCATAGCTGATGTGCAAGGTAAAGGTTTAGTGGTGTATGATTCATCTGTAAAAAGTATGTGCAGAATCTGATTACATGATACCGACCGAAAATTTAGCCTCCATAGCAAATCAAACATTTCCTTATAATGGAGATATTTTCAGTGTAGTGACCCTTTATAATGGTAAATATTTGCATTCTATTGCAATAAATATTATTTTAAATGTAATTTATAATATTTAATCTTATTATACATGACAAGTGATAAGAATCTTAACTTAAAACGCGTGTGTTAATTTTCACAAACATTTCACAAACATTTTTACACAATATTATTAGTACTACATACATTGCTTAAATTTATATGTTATAAATATAGAAGAATTTTACACACACACACACACACACACACACACACACACACACACACACCCACACCCCCTCCCCCACACACACACACACATACACACACACGCGCACACACACATACGTACATAATTGTGTGTTGATGCAAATAAAATAAATGTATTACATGAAACATGTATTTCAAAACACTTATAATATAAAAAGATTAAAATTCTACCAAGCTTTTCTCTCTTTAACTGCTATCACTTGAAGTAGTCTTCTTGCATATAATGTCGTTCTTAATGAGCATTATGTATTTAAAAATAGCGCTTCTTTCTGGGAAAAAATTTTTAATAATTCTGAATATCTTCAAAACAGTGTCTTTTCAATTTTTCATTTATATTTAGGTATAAAAAATGTCGTACTGAGTTAAATTTGGCGAATAACGAGGGTGAGAAATCACATGCCTTTAATTAGAAACTAGATGATAAATGCACTGTGAACCCACATTGTAATATTTTAGACAATATTTGACAGAGGCTATATATGTATCAATATATATACCAGTACTAAAAATTTATAGTGCCCGTAACATATATTACAGATTTTTAGTACTGATATGAATATGGAAATGCAACGAAGGTCATCAAAATTGATTGAAAAAGAACTTTCAGAATGCATTAGAGTAATAGCGGAAGCGACGGCACTAATTACATCAATGCACATAAGAATTACGTCAAGAGTGATAGTTCATGGGACATACAAGTTTTGAATTATTTTTATTAACATCAGATTGGAAATTCTGAATACCATTTTGTTTCCATTATTGATATATATGTAACATATTAAACATTTATGAGTAATAATATCACTATATCTATAAATGTTATATTAAGGTGGATGCGCATAACTGCTTTTAATGAGGTTATATTTGTTACATAATTATTTTTTTATATAATAAGATTTTTCGAAAATACCTTCATGCTCATTTTATAAGAAATGTAAAAAACAAACTCCCCTCATCACATATGTTCCTACAGGTCGATTTCAGCCGAAATCAAAACGTTGTTATAGCTATTGACGTTAGATGTAAACGCTTTTATAACAAAATTATTATATATCGATGTAATAACTTTGTCGTAAAACAGCGTACATAATATCTAATGTAGTTTAGGCAGTTATAATTTCGGCGTAAATCAGAACGTATAAACATAATCGTGTCTACTGATACAGTTCAAATAAACATTTTTTTTTCAACTAACAATTCAAACAATCGATAATTGCGTTACATTGATCATTCAGAAGTGTTAATACAAAAAGATTTTATTATCGTATTCTTTACTTAATTTAGTTTATGGGATTTAAGTTGACACCAGTTATTAATATCAAATATTTTATACAATAATACATATCATGAAAATTGATATTATTTCTTTAATTTGGTATCCCAATTACATGGGATTCAATTCGCGCCAATTGTTGATATCGAATCTTTCATATGAATAATACATATCATTAGTGTTAAGTAAATAAAAAGATAGTACTACTTATATTTTACCTTTTAATTGAATAGAATTTACCTTGATTAGAAAGAGTTAAGACTGCAGCATCTTTTAATTTTTCATTTGATACATTAGTTTTTTCAAGGAATAATAATTTTGACAGAGACATGCATTACAGAAAATAAAACGGCTATCTCGTTGTTGTTCTAATGTGCGCAATAGTTATTAAAAAATATAATTAAAATCTAATTACAATATTGAATGTAGGTACGTATAATTAGACAATAGATATAACGCAACGATTGAAATATGCGCTATTTAAGATGTCCAAAAAATTTATTAAAACGTATAGTTACTTGTGAGGAAGAGGAAGTAAATGGCAACGTGAACTGACGAGCCACATCTCGTTAGAAGTTCGAAAATCGCATCGATACTAGGACAGCATGTCGAGCGAGTAGATCACCAAATCGTCGTAACTGCGGAACTCTACTTATTATGTTCTCACCTCATACATGAATAGCTTTCAAGCGTAAACCAATAAGAGCGCTAGCAGATTCCCCTTGCGCGGCAAGACGCTCCCGCCCATTGACCAATGACTGCTATGCTACGCGGCGGCAAAGTGGGGATACGCTGTCGTTCAGAATACCTCTGATAACTTCCTGCGCTCCTAATAATTCTGGTAATTTATACAAAATTTCTGACGCCGAGAAATGGAGAAACTCGATTCTCTTGCTTAACCTTTTCATCCGAATATGTACTTTTAATCAATTTTCATACATTCTACGGATGTATAATTAAAATATTTTATTATTTATTTAATTGTAACATAATATCCGATTTGTTTGGCTATTGTTTATTAATTATGTGGTACACACACATATATATATATAGGGTGTCTGGCAATAATCGCCAAATCTTTCATAGGTAGTTAGAGCGGACTAAACTGAGTCGAAAAATCCTCTACCATTTTGTGAATTTCCCCAATAGTTAATGAGATATTAATCCTTAAAGATAGCCGAATACGTGCGCTCGACCAGCCTACTAGTTGTAGAGTTGGGGATTGGATGACAAGCGCCCCGCGCCGTGCACACCACCGCAAACCAACATAGCTCGGTGGGCGTGCTTGCCAGGCTATTCCGGCGCTCCCCTGCGCACCAAGCGATCGGTAGACGTATACACTTCGCAGTTCGGCTGCCTTTAATATTTCGTTAACTATTGGAGAAACTTATAAAATGGTAGAAGACTTTTCGACTCAATTTAGTCTGTTCTACCTGCCCATGAAATATTTG